GCCCTCCAGCCCCCCAGCCCTCCAGCCTTCCAGCCCCTCAGCTCTCCAGCCCCCCAGCCCTCCAGCCCCCCAGTCCTCCAGCTCTCTAGCCCTCCAGCTCCCCAGCTCAAGGCCATCGCTCTTCCACAGGAGCCACAGCACTTTGAACCTCGACCCTCAGGGCTCAGCCTCCTGAGCAGCTGGAAGGCCCGCTGCCACTGCCACTTTTATGTGGTTAATTGGGGATAACTCTCACAGACTTTCCTGCCCAAGCTGGCTTGCTTCGCATGATTATCCCTTTTTTTTTCTTCCAGTCCTGGGGCTTGAACTCTGGGCCTGGACGCTGTCCCTGAGCTTCTGCTCAAGGCTAGCACTCTACCACTTGAGCCACAGCGCCATTTCTGTTTTTTTCTGTGGTGCTGAGGAATTGAACCCAGGGCTTCATCATGCACTTGAGGCTAACACTCTACCACTGAGCCAGCTTCCCAGCCCATACTTTTTTTTTTTCCGGGGGGTGGGTAGGTTATGGGGCTTGAACTCTGGGCCTGGGCGCTGTCCCTCAGCTCTTCAGCTCAAGGCGAGTGCTCTACCACTTGAGCCACAGCGCCACTTCCGGTTTTCTGAGTGGTCATTGGAGATAAGAGTCTCACAGATTTTCATGCCTGGGCTGGCTTTGAACCGTGATCCTCAGATCTCAGCCTCCTGAGTAGCTAGCATGCCAGGCGTGAGCCACTGGCATCCAGCATATTATAGGAATTTTATCTCCATTTTATTATTTTGTTGATTAAAATATTTTTTCAGGAGATAAGACCTAAGACTGTGCACATGCTAGCGAGCACTCAGACGCTTGGCTATACCTCACTCTTAAAACCTTTCAAAGAGGGGCTGGGAAGGTGGCTCAGTGGTAGAGCGCTTGCCTTGCATGCCTGAGGCCCTGGGTTCGATTCCTCAGCACCATATAAGAAAAAAGAAAAAAGCCGGAAGTGGCGCTGTGGCTCAAGTGGTAGAGCGCTAGCCTTGAGCCGAAGAGCTGAGGGACAGCGCCCAGGCCCAGAGTTCAGGCCCCATGACCGGACCCAAAACAAAAACAAAAACAACTTTTCAAAGAGCAAAATTAAAGCTGGTGTGATGCCAGTCTATGGCTCATGCTTGTCATCCTAACTACTCAAGAGGCTGAGATCTGAGATGCTCTTGCTTTGAAGCCAGCCAGGGCAGGAAAGTCTGTGAGACTTTATCTCCAGTTAACCACCCAAAAGACAGAAGTGGGGCTATATGGCTCAAGTGGTAGAATGAAAAAGGTAAGCAAGAGTCACAGGCCTCAAGTTCAAGCCCCAGTATTAGCATAAAACAGTAATGGCAGTCCCCCCTTTCTGATTCTAGGTTGGGGCAACCAATATAATCCTGTGTGAACAAGATGAGTATTTATCTGATGATGGCCTCTGCTGTCGACTCTGCCCAGCAGGCAAGTCCAGGGACACCGTACAGAGACCTGGGGCTTGGGGCAGGCCTTCCAACTGGAAAAGGAAACTGCAAACCTTAGCGAGAGCTGAGCTGGAAGGGAGAAGGGCAGGTTCTTCCCTTTGAATTCTCCCCTCCCCTACTCTCCTGGCCCTGGACAGGAAGGGGGGGGTGTTTGTCAGAGGCGGGGCCAGTTAGGTCTTGTACGAGCAGGATGAGAGCAGGGCAGAGGCCCCCTGCCCCCTGGAGACCTGATCAAGTGTCATCCCTGGGGGGGGTACATACCTAGACCACTCCTCCTCCCTCCACACCTCTGCACCGTGTCTACATATACACTCTATGTGAACCCCCCCAACACACCTGTGCATAGGTCACACATCCGAGAGCATGCGTGTGCCTGTAGACAGACACAGGTGCACATGGACCACACCTTTTAGAAATGGTCTAGTCAGATCACCACCTAGTCTCCTGCGTGCGTAGGGCATGTGTGGTCAGGTGTGGTCATGTGTGGTTAGGTGTGGTCATGTGTGGTTAGGTGTGGTCATGTGCGGTTATGTGTGGTTAGGTGTGGTTATGTGTGGTCAGGTGTGGTTAGGTGTGGTTATGTGTGGTCATGTGCGGTTATGTGTGGTTAGGTGTGGTCAGGTGTGGTCAGGTGTGGTTATGTGTGGTCAGGTGTGGTCAGGTGTGGTTATGTGTGGTCATGTGTGGTTAGGTGTGGTTAGGTGTGGTCCTGTGTGGTCATGTGTGGTTAGGTGTGGTTATGTGTGGTTATGTGGCTATGTGTGGTCATGTGTGGTTAGGTGTGGTTAGGTGTGGTCATGTGTGGTTAGGTGTGGTCATGTGTGGTTAGGTGTGGCCATGTGTGGTTAGGTATGGTCATGTGTGGTTGGGTGTGGTCATGTGTGGTTAGGTGTGGTCATGTGTGGTTGGGTGTGGTCATGTGTGGTTAGGTGTGGTCATGTGTGGTTAGGTGTGGTCATGTGTGGTTAGGTGTGGTCATGTGTGGTTATGTGTGGTCAGGTGTGGTTAGGTGTGGTCAGGTGTGGTTAGGTGTGGTTATGTGTGGTCATGTGTGGTCATGTGTGGTTATGTGTGGTCATGTGTGGTTAGGTGTGGTTAGGTGTGGTCATGTGTGGTTATATGTGGTCATGTGTGGTTACATATCCCTCTTCCTCCACCTCCTCTTGGTCTTCCTCCTTTTCCTCCCTTTCATCTTCTTCCTCATCTTTTTTTTTTTTTTTTTCAGCCCAGGGATCTTGGACTCAGGGCCTGGGCACTGTACCTGAGTTTGTTTGCCCAAGGCTAGCCCTCTACCACTTTGAGCCACAGCTCTACTTCTGGTTTTTCTGGTGGTTCATTGGAGATAAGAGTTTCGCAGACTTTCCTGACGAGGCTGAGTCTGGACCACGATTTCTCAGACGTCAGCCCTCCTGAGTAGCTAGGACTGCAGGCATGGGTCCCAGCACCTGGCCTTCTCCTGCTGCTGCTGCTGCTCCTCCCACTCCTCTTCTTCCTGCTCCCCTCCTCCCCTTCCTCTTCCTTTTCTTTCCTCTCCTCCTTCTCCCACTCCTCTACTTCCTTCCTCCTCTTCTCGCCTCTTCTCTCCTACCCTTCTTATCATCATCCCTTCCTTTTCCTGACTCCTCTCCTTTTACTCATCCTCCTCCTCTTCCTGTCTCTCTTTCCTTCTTTCTTTTCTTCTTCTTAATTTCTATCTTATACTTGAACTCAGGGCCTGGGCACTTCCCTTAGCTTTTTTTTTTGGTTGGTCGTGGGGCTTGAACTCTGGGCCTGGGCACTGTCCCTCAGCTCTTCAGCTCAAGGCTAGCGCTCTACCACTTGAGCTACAGCACCACTTCCAGTTTTCTGGTGGTTTATTGGAGATAAGAGTTTCATGGACTTTCCTGCCTAGGCTAGCTTTGAATCGTGATCCTCAGATCTCAGCCTCCTGAGTAGCTAGGATGACAGGCGTGAGCCACTGGCGCCCAACTCCCTTAGCTCTTTTATCCAAGGCTGGCATTCTACCGTTTAAACCACAGCCCTACTTCTGGCTTTTTGCTGATTAATTGGATGTAAGAGTCTTATGGGCCGGGCACCAGTGACTCACACCTGTGATCTTAGGAGGCTGAGATCTGAGAATCTCAGTTCAAAGCCAGCCTGGGCAGAAACATCAGGAATGTCTGTGAGACTCTTATCTTCAATTAACCACCAGAAAACCAGAAGTAGTGCGGTAGCTCAAGTGGTAGAGTGCTAGCCTTGAGCTGAAGAGCTGAGGGACAGCGCCCAGGCCCAGAGTTCAAGCCTCATGACCAATCAAAAAAAAAAAAAGTTTTATGGACTTTGCTGCCAGGGCTGGCTTCCAACTGTCAACCTCCAACCTCAGCCTCCCGAGAAGCCAGGATTACAGGTGCCCAGCTTAGCTTTTGCTGAACCCTTGTGAGATGAGCCCTGGGACAGGTAGGAGCCTTGGCAGAAACTTCTAGACTTCTGGACCTTGGATGCTCCTCTGTGAAGATGTCGCTGTGGTCAGGAGTGGGTGTGTGGAAGGCAGCTGTGGCCTCCTACGATCTTGGGCACACAGAGGTCGGGCTCAGACCCAGCTGCTCCCTGGCACCACTGGACAGTGCTCAGCATGGAGGCCGTGCGGAGCCCCAGCTCCTGGAGCCACTCAAGACTCGGGCTGGGTACATGTCTAGAAGGTTCCAGGGAGGCTGGAGACCCTGTGCAGAAGTCTGGCCACACGTGTGCTAGGTAGGGACAGGGACAGGACAGCCAGTTGGCAGCATGGTGCCCAGCCCAGGCCCGGGGCTCAGCATCACGCTCTTGTCTCCCAGGCTTCCGGGTCAGCCAGCCGTGCTCGGAGAACCATGGCATGGTGAAGTGTGTCTCTTGTGAGGCTGGGACCTTCATGAAGCATCCCAACGGCCAGAACTCCTGCTTCAAGTGCTCACAGTGCGGGGCTGGTGAGTGTACGTGGCTCAGCTCTGCTCGGCTCAGCAGCCGTCTCTGCTGGCACCTGGGGGCCCGCTAGGGGAGGGCCAGGCTCTCCCTGTGGAAGGACTGTCCACAGGTAAAGGGGGAAACCTTGATTGGAGCCATCTCCTGCAACAAACTGGGGAGACCTCATTACAGTCAGCGAGCAGGAAGTACGGCAAAATGAAAAACAACACTGAAAGCAAGCTTCCTAGAAAATGAGCTAGAGCAGGGCTGGGGGGAGAAGAGGGAAGGGGAGGGGAGGAGAGGGAAGGGAGAATAGAAGAGGAAAGGGGAGAGGGGAAACCTACAAGTTATTAGCAATTGTCGTTTATGAGATTAGGAACCAGTTTTTGTTTTGTTTTATTTCTTGTTTTTGTTGGTTGTGGGGCTTGAACTCTGGGCCTGGGCGCTGTCCCTCAGCTCTTCAGCTCAAGGCTGGGGCTCTACCACTTGAGTGGTTTATCGGAGGTAAGAGTCTCATGAACTTTCCTGCCTGGGATGGCTTTGAATTGAGATCCTCAGATTTCAGCCTCCTGATTAGCTAGGATGACAGGCACAAGCTACCAGCACCCAGTTTAGGAACTAGTTGTTTTGTATTGTCCCTCCCTACATTTCCTCTTCTTCCTAGGCTATTTATCAGATCCAGATTCCCTTGTTTGAAATGGGCCAGACTCTCCCCTGGGCCTCCAGAGGGTGGCTTGCGGGAGGGCGGTCCTGAGTCTAGCAGGAAACCAACACCCTCACGTGGGGTGAGTGTGGAGGCTGCAGGCGAGAGGGGCAGCTGCCTGGACCTGTAGGCTGATGGTTTCTTTCCCTCTCTGAGTCCCCGAGTTTTCCCTGACTTCTGCCAGGATATGAGGGCGTTGAGCTCTGCTCTGGCTACCTCCTGCTGAGTGGGGTGATGCAGGGGGCCCCTGACAGCTGCCGCAGGGGACGGGAACGGTGGGACGTTGAAGGGGTCCTGGTGATGCCCTCTGACGTGGATAGCCACGATCATTTGTAGTTTGAATTGATCTAAGTGCGGAAGGTCGGGGCAGGAGGAGTGTGAGCCCCACAGGAACCAGCACGCCCGGGAGCCTAGGGGCCCGGGAGCCAAGATTTAATTACTTTCCCTTGGCCTGCAAAGACTGTTTTGGCTTTTGTTTTTAAAACCATTTTACCTGTTGGATAAAAAGTCTATTACTGGTTAGTATCGCGCTGGTGAGGGAGGTTAAGAATTGTCTATTTTTAGAAGCTAGTCCTTCCTGTTTTCAGGTTCATGACACTGTATTTGTTAAATTTGCCACCATTATATGATTAGCAGCTGCTGTGACTGACAGGTCAGGAAGGAGTCTGTGTGGATAAGACACTTTTTTTTTTTTTGGGGGGGGGGGGGGGG